CAACAAACATTGCGTAAAAACAGCCTGGAGTAAGAACACGGTGTAAAAAAACACTGCGTAAAACAAACTACCTACACAGCGTAAAAAACACGCGTGCAAAAAACACTGCGGAAAAGAAACACAAGGCAGGAAACACTACGCAGGAAACAATATGCAAAAAAACAACACACAATAACACACTACACAGAAAACGCACTACGCAAAAACATTACGGAACAAAATCCATGGCGAAACAAAAACTGCGTAGAACAGCACGACGTAACAAAAAGCACTGCGTAAAAACACACTGCGTAAAAAACACTGCGTAAGACACAATACGCAGGAAACAATTCACAGGAAGCAATACGCAAGAAACACTACGCAGGAAATTCGCCGGCCCAACGGGCCAGAGGCGTGCTAAGATCTCTGGTAACTGGTTAACAATATTTCTAGTTCGCGCGCGCGGGGCGGCCCCTGGGGGCCCCCCGGCGAAAACTATCCCGACCGCAGCCCGAGCAGGTCTACTCAGAGATGGTTTTGAGGGCCCTTTTTCGACACCCCTCACGAGGATCGTGGCCTCCGAGGGGGGTGCACTCGACTACCCCGCCCCAAGAGGCCCCCAAGAGCCCCCCAAGAGGCCCAAGGGGGCCCCAAGACGCCGCCAAGGAGCCCCAAGAGACCCCCAAGAGGCCCCCAAGAGGTCCCTAGGAGGCCCCAAAGAGGCCCCCAAGAGGCTTCAAAGAGGCCCCACAGAGCGCTCGAGGGCCGGCGGAATGAGCGAAGCGATTAATAATCAGCGGGGACAAATAGTTACGCAAGACACAATGCGCAGGAAACGCTACGCAGGAAACATTACGCAAGAAGCACTAGGCAGGAAACACTACGCAGGAAACACTACGCAGGAAAAACTACGCACGAAAAGGAAGCAATACGCAGGAAACACTTCGCAGAAAACACAACGCAGGAAGCACTACGCAGAAAACGCATGAAACACTACGCAGGAAACAATACGCAGGAAACACTACGCGTAAGAATCACTACGCAGGAAACACTACGCGCAGGAGACACTACGCGTAGGAGACACTACGCAGGATACACTACGCGTAGGAATCACTACGCGTAGGAAACACTACGCGCACGAATCGCTCAGCGTAGGAAACACTACGCGCAGGAAACACTACGCGTAGGAAGCACCAGGCGTGGGAAACACTACGCGTATGAAACACTTCATACAACACATTTCGTAAACAAAACACTACGTAATATAAAACACTGCGTAAAACAAACTGCGTCAAAAAACACTGCGTACAACAAAAGCACTGCGTCAAAACACGACGTAACAAGCGATTCAGGTTTCGATTGCACGATTAAAAGAACCCTTGTTCGGGACAAGCCACAGGCTGAGCAAAGGGGGACAGGAACAGCCGACATCGAATCGGAAAGCCGAAATCGAATCGATCGGATCGGCCGTGTCAGGATGCACAACAGCGTCACGCAAGCACCGGGACGCATCGGATCGTCAAAATTATCGGAATCGACCTGGGAGGCTCGACCTTCCCCTCTGCGCCTAGTGGTCTTCGGGTCAGAACTCCGGCCTCCAGTGGCCGTTCGGGACGATCTGGGAACCTCTGGAACGCTATCGGCGAGGCGCGGCTGCTGGAAAGCACCCTGAGGCTGGAGAGCCTCTGGGAACCCACGACAACGTCCGAAAGCCTCGAACCGAAGCCTCGAACCGAAAACCTCGAACCGAAATCTTTTGAGGATCGTCAAGACATCGGAGTCGACCTGGGAGGCTCGACTTCCCAGACATGCAGAGTCCTCATTGTTTATTTGCAGGGTTCCCAGAAATCCCGAAACTTGCTCCGAAACACCAGTTGTCATTCCGTTTTTTGGCGGTCCCGGGGCCCGCCGAGGGCCCCCAGGGGCCGAAAACGGCCAAGAAACTCCAGCCGTGATTGTTTCACAACGCGAACATGTCTGCGCTCTTAGGGATCCTCAAGATATCGGAATCGACCCGGGCGGCTCGACCTCACCCCACAGGGCGAGGCTGCAGCATACATCAGCGACGCATCGGCGACGTCGGCGATGCATCGGCGCCATCGGCGTGGGGAAATTCTGGCTCCACATCAAGCAGCATCGCCGATGCATCGGCGATGCGGAGCAATCCTCCGACCCCATCTACTCGGACCCCATTTGGGAGGCCTAGAATAGAACGTTCCTCTTCGAAGCGTTTCTTTGATATGTTCCACGATGACGGCCGTCACCAGCCCAAGCCGCCCCCACTCAAATAACGTCACGATCCGTGCTGACCTCCGAATTGTCTTTGCGCTATCCTTAAACGTTCCCAGACGGCGCCGGCGCGAAACGTGACGTTACCGGTCCAGTCCCCCCCCCCGTAACGGCCGCTATCGCCTGGGGATGACACAGCACTCTCCTTGAGGATTTTCAACACGTCGGAATCGACCAAAAACACTCGACCTCTCGATGTGAAGAAGGGGCCCTGGGACACACGAAGAAATTGATATAAATAACAGGATTCCCCATATCTTCCCATATTTTCTGAGTGTTCCTCCTTTCCCCCCACTTCCCATATTTTCCAATATTTTCCTGGGAGTCGACGATTACTTGTCTGTGTGATCCTTTCCCTCCTGAGATCCTCAGAGTGTGTGTTATCGCCAACGTGTGCTTGTCCACCGAAGCCATTCTCAACACGACGCAGGAAGCGCAAAGAGGGCCGGCACAGGCTGCGTGCTATCGGTGGCCTAGTATGCAAAAGCATGAGACCTCGCGTCGCCTGCGACCCTCCCCCCCTCCAAAGGTGTCTTCAGATTGCTCGCCAGCGCTCCCAGACGGGCCCCGTTCTGGGGGGCCCAGAAGAGAATCCGATACATCGGCCGCTCCCATCGTTCTCGATGCGTGGGCCCTGGAGGTCTGGGCCATTTCCCTATAGGGTTGGCTTTACGTCCCGACTCGTTGTTTGACGGTCCCGAGGCCCGGCGAAAGCCCCCGGAGGCCGAAAACGGCCAAAAATCCACCGCTCCGATTTTTGTTGGAGCGTCGGATTTTTGGGATGTCGCCTCCGACTGGACTGCTCTGGGACCCCGGGGCCATCTCCCAAGACCAGCTTTTCATCCTGAGTCGTTTCCTGCCAGTTAAAGGACCCGGTTCCCTCAGGACCTGTTTCCCCCATGGCAGAATGTCGCCTCCGACCTCCCTGGACCTCTCCCGGGGTCCGTTCTGACCAGGATTTCGAGGCGAATCCAGCGGTGGCGGCGAGGGCCTCCCAGGAGGCCAAAAACAGGATGTTGTACCTGCTTGCGCAGGCCGAGGGGGAGCTTATAGAGGGCTCTCGCCGCAAGTTTTTCAAATCTCCCAGACGGACCCCATTTGGGGGGGCCTGGAATCCGCCACCGTGCCTCTGGACACGGAGTGGGCGTGTCCTCAGGTCCGTTGCCTAATCCCCGGAGCCTCAGTCCTCAGCCCCGAGGAGACATGTAAGGGGCCCCGACCCCAATATCCGAAACTTCCTGGAGCTCCCCGCGTGCCCTCTGGGCTCTGGCGCGTGCCCTCTGGGCTGAGGTCGGGCGTCCCCCTACAGGTGGATCTTCGGCGAAAAATCGAAAATAGCTCAAAATGAACCAAAACATTCAAAACTACTAAAAAAATCGTCCCCCAACTATTGTTTCACTATTTTTGATCACTCCTCCTGTAGAGGGGCACGCCCGACTTGACTCTGTGCTCCGGCGCGTCTCCCCGCGTGATTTTTCGGGGCCTGAGAGCGTCGCCTCCGGCCTCCCGTCAACAGGCCAGGGCCTTCCGCCAGGACCAGCTCGTCACGGGACGCGCAGAGGCATGCTAGCACGACATGCCCACCCTGGAGGCGCGCGTCCGACCCGAACATGTAGTATACCCATCTTGTAGTATATCGTTTCCCCAGCGGCGTGGCCAGAAGGCGCCCGCCACGACGCATGTAGTATGAGATTTCTCGGTGCGCGCGTCGCCCCTGGAGGGGCGACGCACATATAGTGTAAGTATGTTGGGGTGACGCAGATTTCATCCTGAGCTGTTTTCTGATAGCCCTGGGCCCCGTGGAGGGTCCCGAGAGCCCGAAAACAACGAAAAACCTCAGGACCCGTTTCCCTCAGGACCCGCTTCCCCCTTCGCTCGGGGGCGTCCAAGAGGGGGGAGGTCCAGGAGGGCGGGGGGGGGGACAAACCATGGCCGGCCGCTGCATATGCGCGGCTCAGGGGGGGCCAGAGACTCATTGAAACAAAAAGAAACGCCATGACATCTGGGGAGATACGGCCAGACCTAGGACAGAAAACATCCGTCAAGAACATGAGACCATTCGCCAGTCAAACTGAAGAACATTCAAGGGTACCCTCCCCAAGGATGCAGAAGTACATCGAACAAGCACGAAAAACATGAGGGTACCCTCCCCGAACCGACCTTGATCTGATACCTCTGTCCGACCGTCTCATGGCCCCCGCCATGATACCCCCCCTACAGTAGGGACCCGACCACAAGAAACCTTCCACAAGAAACCCAACCCTGAGACTCCAGGACGTCCATCGATTTTCGATGAGGGAACGTCACGCCTTCCATAGAGAAATCATCGAAACCCAAGAAACCCAGGGCACCCTAGAGGCAAGCAGGTTCTTTCTTTCGGGGGCGCGCAAACATGGATTAGCGATCCATGGATTTGGCGTGCGGTTGCCAAATCCATGGATCGGGGGATGATGCCCTCCCCAAAGTGCGGCCGGTGCCGCTCCGTTCTGCGGCGGAAATCCGTGCTCTCCCGTGGAAACGGGGCCCGTCGCTGATCCACGCCCTCTTAATCCATGCTTGCGATCGCCCGATTCTTGGCATGGGCCCCACTGCAGTCACCCTCCCCCCTGTGCCCATCCCCCCTCCTCCTGGCCCCCGATCCTCTGGCCGCACCCAGCCGGCGAAGCGTCGCCCCCGGCCTCCCCCCAGTGGCCGGGGCTGCAGAGCTCTGGCGGCCGGGCTCGCCCGGGGGCTGCGGCCGATGCGGCCCCTGCGCCTCGGGGGCGAGCCAGGGGTGGTGCAGCGCCGCGGCGGCGCAGGGGCGCTCCTGCGGTGTGCGCAGGGCGCGGGGGGCCCCATGCTGCAGTCAAGGGTCGAGGTTTACAGCAGTAGTGGCGAGGGGGAGGGAGGTTGGGAGGTTGAGGAGGAGGAGGAGGAGGAGGAGGAGGAGGAGGAGGAGGAGGAGGAGGAGGAGGAGGAGGAGGAGGAGGGGGGGGGGGGAGGAGGAGGAGGAGGAGGGAGGAGGAGGAGGAGGAGGAGGAGGAGGAGGAGGAGGAGGAGGAGGAGGAGGAGGAGGAGGAGGAGGAGGACCACAGGGGAGGGGGCCTGTCGCCGCCTCAGTCGGACTCCTCTTGAACTTCTGATCCGAACGCACCCCCGTATGGTCGGGGGACACAGTTTTGGAGCAGAGGGGGGGGATAATGAAGGGGGAGGAGGGGGGGGAAGGGTGGGGGGAAGAGGAGAAGAATACGTGAGAGGGAGGATTAGGATGATAAGATTAAGAATGAAGAACTTGTTAATGGTAATACTAATAATACTAGAGAATACTACTAAAACGCATGATAACCATAACGAACATAAGATTCATACGAATAATAAGCAACATACTGATACTATTACACATTCAAATATGACGAATGATACTACGAATAATAATTTGATTAATCATCATAATAATCATAATACTCATAATAACCAGACTAAACTCAGAGCGTGAAAAACCTACCCCGCTTTCGCTTCCAGGCAAAACCAAGCCGTACCACGCGCCTCCTCGTCAAGCGGCCTGACCAGTACAGGCTGCAATTTGGCATCGTTTGGTATCTCTTGGAAGCGAGGGTGGTCAAAAGCGAGGTAGGATTGTTTTCCCCTATAAACATACTAATTAGAATAAGCATAACAAGAAGACTAATACGAATCCGAGTAACAATAGTAAGAACAATATCAATACACATAATGATAATAATGCTAAGAGTCATAATGATAAGAAGAACGAGGGGGACGAGGAGGAGGAGGAGGAGGAGGAGGAGGAGTTCGGGGAGACCAAGGAGGAGGAGGAGCAGCAGCAGCAGCAGGAGGGGGAGGAGGACCATGAGCAACCCGAGTGCGCTGATCTCCGTCCGTCGTCCTACACAGTCGAAGCCGATGGTGAGGATGGGTAACCTTCCCAAGGGTATTTCCCCTTGCGTCCGTGCTTCTTTGGTCCTTCCTTGACTACTTTCGATGGCCAGCCGCACACGGAAAATCTTCAACACGGGCGTCCAAGAGGCTTGCATCCTTACCGCGCATGCTCACTATCAGTTCGACTGTACTAACATGTGCGCGACGGAAACAAATGGCTCTTACGCAAGATGCCAGAGAGCGCATCACCGCGACCTTACGCGGACGCTTGCGCGCGAATGTCGGCACAATCGACCCCGTTTCTTCTGCCTCTCATGTGCAGATGCCGGAGGCCACGGAACTTCCGAAGAAGTTCTCCACGAGACCCCCTAACAGAGCCGCAATGGGCTCCCAAGAAAGCCCCAAGAAGGGCTCCAGAGCGACAGCGTCGTCGTCGCCGCCGCCGCTGCCGCCGTCGTCGTCCCCCTCCAGGGTCGGCGGCACTGGCCGTAAGGCCCTCCCAACAACATGCGCTGATGTTGGAGGCGCACGTCCGAGCTGAACATATCAACAACTTACAACACTTCTTTCCCGAGAGCGGCATGGCCAGAAGGCGCCCGCAACGGAGGACATGCTGTAAAGTCTGACGGCGGGCGCGCGTCGCCCCTTCAGGGGCGACACACACCCAGTATCACTACGCTGGGGTGACGCTGATTGAGGGCCAACGGGAGGCTTCGGGGTTCCTACGTCACCTTTCTTCGTGCCCTCGCGTCTCCTGCGGTTGAGGGGCAGCGTTGGGCTTCGGGGCTCGGGGTTCGAGGGGGATCGGAGCCCGATGTTCATCATTCGCGATAGCACCCGTGGCCGACCCCTGACCCCCTCCCTCTCCCGCTCCCCCCCTCGGGCACGTCACGAGTCGCGCCCTGGCGCCGTCTGCGAGTGCC